ACAAAGTGAGAGCATTGAAGAGATCTCATCATGACTAAAATGACCTGTACATGCTCAAATATCTCCAGAAACAACATGTGCTCAACCTACCAAAGCAGTATGTGATGCGCACATGTTTTATCAGTCACCTATGGGTACATAGAAGACAATCATGCTCAGCCACAAGGCACAGGCAAAGAGATGTATTACTGTAGAACAATGTTAACAACACTAAACATATCACATCGTTAATGTCGCAACATTCAGTCTTTGTGAACTCAGAGGTAGGACACTGGTTAGACAGCCAGCCATTGAATGCTTTTAGGATACAGAGAGAGAGGGCACTGACATATTTATATAATTAGAAAAAACAATGTTTGCATGAGCATAGAAAGTACCATATCCTTCTTGGAAGTAGCTTTTTTTTTACCAAAGCACTGCACTAATGTAAAGTTTCACGATAAAAGAAAAACAATCTAGAATGGATTCATGTATTTAACAACATATAACCATTCAGGACTGTTTTTAATTTTGCGATCCCACTCAAGACAGAAATCTAGGTGTTGTTGAAAGAAATGGGGAAGGCAATGAGGAAAAGGAACTGAAGGTTATTTTTTGTATTTTTTTTCATCTGTTAATATTGAAAAATGTCATAATTCCCAAGACTTTTATGACCACAATTTGAACTACCGTTTGCTGTTTTTATTTAAAAAAAACAAGTTCTCCACACAGGACTGCTCAATGGAGAAGCATCTTGTAAGCTGCAGACAGCTCAGCTACAGAAAGTACTGCACATCATTTTTCCATCTACTGAAGACTCGCACACTTTTCAGGCCACACCCGATTTGATCTTAAGCATTTGGGGTTGTGCGGCGGCTCTGTGGCTCAGGATCTGCGTCTGTGGCTGGAAGGTTACTGGTTCAAATCCCGCGGCCGGCAGAATAACCCTACTCCGTCGGGCCCCTGAGCAAGGCCCTTAACCCCAGCTGCTCCAGGGGCGCTGTATAATTAGCTGACCCTGCACTCTGACCCCCAGCTTCTCTCTCTGTCTGTGTGTCTCATGGAGAGCAAGCTGGGGTATGTGAAAAGACAAATTCCTAATGCAAGCAATTGTATAGGGCCAATAAAGTGATCTTATTTTCTTAGTTAACGTTAATGTATTTTTCTTTAAGATGTCTGTAGATAATAATACAGCCATTTATGCGACATACTACAATTAAAAAAAAAGTAGATCTGAACCCTTCTCTACACTCAACGTCTCGTCTCCTACATGAACTTCACATCTCTTAAGGTCTCACGGCAGCCTCAAGCTGATGACTGTACAAACCTCTGTGGCCGTTGTTTCCCCGTCAGCAGCAGTGTCCGTCTGCTCGCTGTCGGTCTATTTGTTACACACGTATCCAGGGTCCAAACGGAAAGCAGGAAGAGAAAGACCCATCTCATCAGTGGTTCCGATATTTTTTTCCCCATGGAGTACAATTATATGCACTTACGTACATAGATGGGACTGTGGTTATGCATTTGGTTTAAGCAAGAAGTGCTCTTTTAAGCAGTAACAAAAAAAAACAAGCAAGCTAGATTTTGTCATTGGAACAGACTCAGAGGAAGTTTAAACCTCATGGCAAACACACATTGTTTTAATTAACACACACAAATCACGTTTATCTCAAAGATTCGATCTAAAAGCCAAACCATAAACAATTTCTTCTCTGGACTTTAATTTGGAAAGCCAGGTGTCCACGTCAATTTTATTTTTTTTAAATCCCATGTCCAATTCTTGAGCAATTACAAATTTGGTGTCTTAAAAAGCAGCCGAAAACAGTGGTCCAACCCCAGTTTTAACCTTACTTCAGTTATACAAAATACAGTTGCTGCTAAACCACTGTTAAGAATTAATGGAAGTTGACAACTTTAAGCTACTATAACAGTCACCTGACTTTCAGGTCCTCCTCTGTCCCACCCATAAACGGTATTAGCTACAAGTGTAGCAGTCTTTCTGCATTAGAATGTCTGATTCTACATTTTTCTCTTTTCTAAAAAGCAAGTGCATGCAGATTGCACACTGATCTCAGTTTGTTCTTGGGAAGGAAGATTGCTATTGAAAGCTTAAATAAAAGAAATCACAGGCATCTTTCAGTCCATTCAGCTGATAATGCACTGTATGAAATGAGGACAGTTTATCTGCAGAAAGAGGATTTGTACAGTTCTTCTATTTCATTGAAAGGACCATCTGTGTCTTTGGTGAGCTCTGGCAGAAGTTGTTGCAAGGGATTTGTGCTTGGCCTTTTTTGTCTTTTTGAATCACCAGCCAATGTGATAGCTAGCCAAACATAATTCTTAGTTTATTTGTATTATAGTGCTTCTGGCAAAACTCAATGCAGAGAAACTCCTACATAAGTTATACAATGGTCTCTGAATTCCTTTTCATGCACTTATGCTGTTTTTTTAAAACAGTCAATGCCACTAAGCCTTACAGTTCTAATATTAAATTAAAATGGGTTAGGCACAAAATAAATCTTAAATTGAAACAGTATGTCTCTTTTCATTATGTTTTCAAAATATGAAAGTGTAGAATATTACTGAAATACAGAGGTTAATACCTACTGTACATTGCCAAAGGCTAAATACCTACAATATTATTAAATAACACCAATTATGGGGTTATTTGTGAGCATTTTATTTCTTTACTGTGCATTACAAAAATCAAGATAAAACAATCACAATCTAGGTTTGTCTTGTAACACCTCCAATATTATGTGAATATAAATTCTTCCACTCTAAAGATGGTTTATAAAAATGATGTACAACCATATGTCACTTTTCTAAGCAGCCTTGTGCTCTGCTAAAAAGCATGTAATTCATGGAAAGCAAGTTATATTTTACAAGTGTAAAGTGCAAGTGTTAAGACTGAATGCGTGCTACACATTAAAAGCACACAATCCTGACTAAAGTTATACAACAAATGTGTGCTTTACCATCTTCCTTCAAAACCTTATTTAGTTTGGAAAATTTGGATTTCAGGAGTTCAATGTGTCAAAAGAAGCACTGAGCAATCTAAAAAACCTTACATACAGGTTTTGCTCAAAATACAAAACTCTCATGTTTCTGCCCTTCAAATTCTGTTTATCTTCGTGCCTAACCCTTGACATGAAGAGAGCTAGTTATTCACATATGGAGCAACTTAAATGCTGCTTCTAAGCTATCCCTCTAATGAGCAATAGGCAGAAATGAGGTTCTGAAAGTAGGACCACTATGGCAGCAATCTAACACAGATTAGGACTGAAGCACTGAACACGTGAAAAAGGAGTGTGTTCTAGGCCGAGGTACACACCTCTTCCTCTGAACTGTCATTCAGGTCATTGTCAAGTGAGGCACTCAATGAGGCCGCCTTGGGCTCCAGGAAGCAGAGGCACATAGCCAGAGGAAAGGAGAGGGTGAGAGCGTATGGAACAGAGAAGGAGGCCGACAGCAGGAAGAAAAAGATGAACAAGAAGCAGGGGATGAGGGAGGGGGACTGGATAGGCAGGAAGTGTTGTACGCTTTCAGGAAGGAAGTTCATTTCTGAGAGGTCGGGGAAGGAAAGGTAGCCATCGTCATCCAAGAAGGAGGGGAGAGTAGGGAGATGCAAGGAGAATGAAAACAGGGTCCCCCCCTGGCCAGCCCTTTTCTGCGTGTAGCCCGAAACCACCAGGGCCGGCTCCTCCAAAACGCCGGGTTTCCTTTCGAGCTCCGGCGGCCCCGGTGGGCTCCAGGCGCCCGTTTTTGCGGGGCTGGCGGACGCCGCTCTTGGGCGAGCGCGCTCCTTGCGTCTCCGGCGGAGCTTTGCGGGCAGGACAGGGGAGGCGGGGAGCGAGGAGTGGATGCGGAAAGGGTCGGGGGAATGGAATGAAGGCGACAGCTGAGGTGGGGGCGCACGCACATACAAGTACAGTACAGGATCAAAGAAAGGACAAGAAAAAACTAATTAGTTAAATGGAAACAAGACAGATATCTCAGTTACCATTTACACTATTTTCCCCTTATGTTTCTGTCGTAGAAGAGCAAAAGGATGTTGTTGTTTTTTCACAATGCACTTGTTTGCTCTTAGACTTAAGAAGCTCATTGGTTTATATATTTTTTTTTTAAATGTGGCAATTTTGAAATGTGTGTTTGATCTGACATTCTTTTTTAATTTAGCAGTTCGATTCCTCTGATATGACAAAGCTCTGACTGCAAGACTACAACAGGCATCAAGTGCGAACTTGAGGTAAGATGTGTTCTGTTAAGTAGAAGCAGATTAGTAACTAAGGTCAGCAACAGCAGCCAAAGGGTTTAATCTTTGGAGGTAATGTAAGAGCATTAAGGCCCTATTAATTACTTAAACACTTTCCCAATTTAAACCTTTTTTTTCCTGGAGGCATAGCTGTAAATCAATCCTGAAATCAGATTATCAGAGAAAAAGCAAAAGTCCAATACAATAAAGTCCACATTTCTTAACAATACATTTTTTCCTTACCAAAACATGATAATCATTACTAGAGTTTTTCCATCTTTTCAAATGCTATTGCTTTTGATGTACGCTGCACTTTAATTCTTCAGCTACATCAGTTACTGTAGGTCACTGTGCAGATCACATGAATGTAAATTAGCCTATGTAAACCATTGTGTGACAGCTGTATTTGAATAAATTCTTATTCCTACCAGCAAGTTGTTCAGAAGAGGCCCTTCTGTTACATTAAGTATAACACCAATGTTTAACTGGGTTGACCAAAGCTTATTATGTTATCTTCTGTGTTTCAAAGGATCATTCACACTAATGTAATAAAAAATGCAGCCATTAAAAGAATGTCAGCAATCAGTGTTTTGTTTTGTACACCTGCTTTATGGCCACTTTAATACTTCTAAATATCAGCTGTCTCAACATGTATATCAGGTAAAGTTAGTTACGCACATTGTAATAGAGAAATATTGCCTTAACAGTCTAGCATTTGCCTTGTTTTTGCAGACAAAAAGACCTGGATGAACACTATGGGTTCAGTTAAAAGGTTCAAATACCCTTTAGAGACCTAATTCATTGTTTCTAAACCTTAATTAACAATCCAATTCAAAAGTGCCCTGGTTTCAGTAAAAACATAGGGAGAAACTAGGTAATGATAGTATGCTGTTTGAACTCTATTTAATCACCTCTCTCATCTATTAACTGGGAAATGTAAAAAATGTTTACATCTCAGCCAGGCGGAGGTGAAGGTCACTATTTTTATATCCTTCAGTTCACTCTAGAATAAAACAATTTACTTCAACAGTTTTTGATCAGGGGTGCGAAGACCTATTTCGAGACGCGAAGGGGACCAGGCTGCAGTAAGGGGTAAGACTCACTGGTCCAGGCAAAGGTGTGAGAGCACTGCAGACTTCTCTTCTCACAGCTCTCAGCTTTCCATGGGTCCTTGCCACCCGCTAAGAAGGTTTTATCGGGGCAGAATTAAGAAGCCTGCCACTTCCTAGAGAAGTGTAACTTGTTAAAAATCAAAAACGATGTCACACTCAAGCGAAAGACATTCCCAGCAACCACACCCATGAAAAACAGAGGAATAGAGAGTTCAAAACAAGCCCAAAACTTGTAAGAACATAAACCCTATGTAAGTCCTGATACCACGTTGTACTGAGAAAAGAATTAGCATGCAACCCACACTGCTTTCAGAGACTTAGATCAGCTCCCGAGATTAAGCGGGCAAACCTGCACAAGAACGCACAACAAGGAACACAGACCCAGAGTTCCCATCCGGAACAGGAAGTCCACGCAGTATTATTTAACCAGCCGCTGGACATGACTGACTTCAGCAGCTCGACTGTCTCTCAGAATGTACCTTCGCATCATGTCTGATGGGAGTGACAGGAGTGGGCTCTGCCGGCGTCTCCTTGGCCTCCTGCTCCTCCTGCTCCTCCTCCTCCTCCTGCTGCTGCTGCTGCTCCTGCTCTTCCTCGGCCTTCTCCTCCTCCGCCTTCTTCTCGGGGGTGACGGTGGTGATGAGGTCGCCAGTGGCGATGCCCTTAGCCGTCCCGTACTGGGCAGTGCCCACCTCTGAAGCGGACATGGAATTCTTCATGAATATTTCGTGGGTTTCACTCACAGAGGCTAGATTGCAGGGAGATATTCAAACACTGAGACTAATCAGGAGGATTTCCCCCCCCCCCTGAGATTAAATTGTAAATATTAAGCATTAAAGACAGGAAGAGAAAAATCAAGTTGCATTCATATCATGCAAATAAAAAGGTCAAGGCTTCAAGTTTTTTTAACTATACCCTTTCAATCCAGAATATGAAATCAAAGTTATATTCTGAATTCATACAATATACCATTTGCTGTGCTTGTTGTAACAAAGGTCTAACTGGATGTTATTTTCGGTTGATTGTCCGTGGTTTCCTGATTAGACTCTTAATATTCACTAAGAGATTTTAAAAGATTCTAAATTGACACAATCCCTGCATTATTTAGGAGCAAAACCAAGTCAAGCAAGGCTCCATGTTCAGTATAAAATAGAGATATTTAGCAACATGATGAATACTACAGACAACACAAAAATCAATGCCAAAAAGACTGAAGCACATTTACAGAAAGAAAGCTGTCTTTGCACTTGCATTGATAGGACTCAAAAGATCTCAATTATTTTGCAATAATGGACAAGTAGTCAGAGTAACTGGATGTTATAATAGTCACATAATATACAGTAGCTACCTGTTTAAATTCAGGCACTAGACTGCATTTTGTAATCTACTGAGCTAGGAAGATTAACAGAAATTAAATACTACATGAAGGATCCAACATTTTAATATGTTAAACACTGTCAGGTTAACAGAAGTTTCCCATTTGTTTCCCTGACAGAATAAAGTTATTGAATCCTCACTGGAATTTGATTACGTTCCGAGAAAACAGCTTCATCCTTTTCATTTTTTTATGGAAGCTGCACACAATAACAGCAATTAAAACTGCCAATTGCACAGAATGCATTCCCGTTAATTGGTATATAAATGGCCAGTTTTATTCAAAGAAAACTATAGTGAACCCTGGAACAACAGTGTTTTGACAGTAACAATTCTATGTGGGAGAGATTTTACTAAGATGCTGAAATATCCAGAGGGCAAAAACAGTACCTAAAAATAAATTAAAGATCCCTGATGCTTCATAAGCATACAGAAAGGAATAAAACCGAAAATGTTTCCAGTGGATGTTTCCCGTCTTTCCCTAGACGTTGTGAGATAAAACAGCTTCCAGAAAACCTGTGGCTCTTCATGAAGAATCTAGCCTGGTTACAGACAGGGGTCTGGGAGGCGCTGATAAAACACTCTTGTCCTGCTCTAAATGGAAGTGTGCCCTGCCCATGATGAAAAAGGTAATAAAGACGGATGACAAAACCACAGCTTTCTTAAGCGGCTGAGAGAGAGAGGTCACCAGGAGCGCAGTGTCCTCTGGCAGCAGCTGCAGCGGCCGGGGATTAAAGCCGTTATTTTCCTGTTTAAGGTCAGTCCCACTTACCCCCGTCCAGGCTGCGCGACATGGTGTAGCGCTTGCTGGAAGAGCGCTCGAAGTAGGGAGCGGGCCGGACGATCTGGGAGCTGGCTCTCCGCGTCTGGGCCTGCGTCCTCCCGCTGTAGCGGAACTTGGAGCCCAGCGTGAGGAACTTCTTCGGCGGAGCCTCGGGAGACACCAGCCTTTGGGAGGGAGACGGAGGCGGGTTTAAAGCCCCGGCGACGCAAAGCCGCTCAAAACGCTCAGAGGGGCGGGGTGGCAACGATAAAAAAAACAAAAAAAACAAAAATGAAACGCAAACTATACCACACGGCAGTTCGTGAGGGTATTGGGCCACTCGGGCCCATCTGAACCGTGTGCTCAGAAACATCCTCGCAGTGCCACACTGCAGTCAGCTGAGTAGTCACCTTCCAGTGTGCCATTGCGTGTACCGACACCACTGACATAACCTGTCCCATCCACGCTCTCAGAGACGCTGGAAGGTCCCTGGGGAAACATCTCTGGGCCACACACAGCACATGGAAAAGCAGCGGTGGCATTAGTCCACATTCCGAATGCCAATCTAAATTGATCCTGAAATCTTGGATTCTCTATCCTGGATTGCTAAATACTGTACGGCTACCTTGAACTACGGCACTTGGCTGTATGTATATCGAACTGTGCATTTGCAGAGTTAATTAGATGGATGGGTTTCCTCCCACAGTAGGTTAATTGGTTTGTGGGAACTCTGGCCCTGGAGTGCATGTGTGCATGCCTTTGTTTATTGCCAGTGTGTGCCCTGTGACGGACTGGCGTCCTGTCCAGGGTGTGTGTGTGCCCTGTGACGGACTGGCGTCCTGTCCAGG